TGTTAATGTTATATTTAATATCTTTATCAATTAACATTTTTATTATTAACTAAAAACTTTATCGTATGTTGATTGATCAAATATCACTGTTGTTTAAATAATCAAATATTGTTATCGTTTAAATCTATAAAAATTTTACTTAATGTTATTTTTTACTAAATAAGCACTTTTTTTTTAATATTTAACCAATTTTTTTTTTACTTTTTTGTAACTTTTCTTATTATATTTTGAATCTCTAGTAATTCACATACTATTGTTGTCTAATAATAATTCTAAATTTTAATTTTAAATATTTTAATTTTGAAATATAATAAGAAAAGTTACAAAAATGTTGAAAAAAAATTTGTTAAATATAAATAAAAGAAGGACTTATTTAGTAAAAAAAAAAAAAAAAAAAAAAAAAAAAAAAAAAAAAAAAACCAAGTGAAATTTATATAGAGTTTAATGATGATAATATCTGATTATTTAAACAACAGTGATATTTGATCGTTTAATTACGATAAAGTTTTTAGTTAATAATGAAAATGTTAATTAATAACGATTTAAAATATAATATTCAAAATAAGTATGATAATAAAATATTATGAATTAACATTGTAGCTTAAATTGAAAAATACAAAACAAAGCATTAAACGAGATTTATAACGACTAAAATAATAAACATTAGTAAGTAATTTGAATATAAAATTTTTATTTATTTATTTAAATTTTAATATAAAATTTAAACTTCTTTATTTAAACTTTAAATAAACAAATTAAGATCTTACATTAAAATTACTGACCAACATTTATTATTTAAGTCGTTGTAAATCTAATTCAATAATTTGTTTTTTATTTTTCAATTTAAGCAGCAATGTTAATTCATAATAATTTATTATATTATTTTTAATGTAATATTTAAGGACTTAAACAATTAACAATTTTATTATTATCAAATATTATTATTGTTTAAATCTATATAAATTTCACTTAGTATTTTTTTTTAGCTCCCCGGGAAAAAATCATCATGCATGAACATGTACGATCAGGCGTTAATGTCATGCATGATCATGCATGTATATTTGCCAGACATGAGCTTGTATGGTCATGCATGACCAAGCATCATCAGAACTAATCAGTCATGATCA